ACAAACTGAGGACGCTGCATAGCAATTGGCTAGGAACAATTTGGAGAAAAGGCATGAATTGCCAGCTGCCTTTGACAGTTGTTTTTCTTTCTGAATATGGTATTTTGTCACTTGCCATCCATGCTGTATTACATAGCAGATTGTTGTTTACTTTTATATTCTGCTTTTCGAATTTTTGCAACCAGTAAATGACTTATCAAGAAAATATGTTTATGTAGAAAATGAAGTGTCAAATTATCCACTGTTTCGATTACTTGGGTGGTTGTTATTTTTTTCCTATAATTGACTCCTCTGAAAATTCTTTCTTCTCAGAGAGGCCGCTCTGTTGTCAATCGTGCCAAATTGTATGAGATTATGTGCCTCAGTATTGTGACAGAAACTGATATTCATTAGGAAGTTGTGATCACTGTAATAAAAAGTAATGAAAAGGAGATGCATAGTTGTCTTTTGAAAACATGACAAGCATTCGCTTCTTTCCTCTTCTTTCAGTGTCTGTCAATCTGCAGCTCCTTTAAATTACCACTTATGTGTGCAGTGATTTCACTCTTCATTTGACTAACCTTGTGAGACCATACATTCAACAGGAGGCATTTCTAATGGGTCCAGTCCTTATGGAAGGTTCTTGGCATCTGACTTATCTTGGCAGAGGGAGGAGCAGAGAGGAAGAACTGGGGAGAGGAAGGGAAAATTGGAAAAAATGGAAGATGATTTGTGAGATTGCCTTGCATTCATTTCCTCTGTTGGTCAGTCACAGCTCTGAGCACTTTTGCAGTGGTTTGCTGGTGAGGGAAGCAGTTGGTTGCACACACTAGCACCTTACAACATTGCAATGACTGTTCTCTCCCTGCCACACTTCTCAGCCATATATAAATGTTAATACCTTGACCTCAAAGACAACAACAAATGATGGAGATCAGCAAGTTAAGGGTGGCAGTACCATATGAGAAGGCACAGCTCAAGCTTCTTTTCGCTTATCTCTAGCAAAATGCACACAAAAGTAATCAGGGTTCACATCTAGTTGCTATCTCTCCTGATTTAGCTCAGTTAACTAGCTGAGGCAGTAAGTGAATTTTTCCTTGGGCATTGGTATTCAGGAAGCACTTTGGAGCTGTAACTAAGATCAGAGCTCTTGTTATTTTAGTCATTGTGTGCATATGTACTAAGAACTTAAATCTCTCTTATTGAGCCAGTGTATTTTGTATTGCATTGTTGCAGGCTTAGCTGACATGCAGTCAGTCACTTTTTAAGCCGCAATAACCTTTCTGCATGCCTTACCTCAGAGACTCATACCCTTTCCTGCCAAGATAACTGTATTAAAGCCAAGAGAACACAAAAATCTAGCAAGAAGAAACAACTCACTAGCAAGCCTGCTGCTGTCACCTGACATTTGTGAGTGACAGATTTAAATCCATGCTTAACATGGGCTAGACTTCCAAGGCTGGACAGGCAACACTGACCACCACGAGTGCTGATTATTGGGGAATCTTTTGGAAGGGAAGCTACTGCCCACTCTTTATGTACATGAATGATCCTCATGGCTTCTTTCGAAGAATACACCACTTCCTCCTAGTGTTGAGATGCAGTCAGCTGCTTCATTGCCATGCATGAATGTGGTGGTTGAGTGCTGTCTAATCCTAAGAGATGGTTACATTTCATCAGCACCCTACAAAACATAGTTGTTAAAATCTTTCCTGAAAAGAATGCTGAATTGCTCCAGTTGCTGTATTATTTTCACTCTGGGAATGTTCTCCCCCAGCCTGCTCTGAGTTAATTAAAAGTAATAGTCAGCATCCAAGATGGGTTTACCCATGACACCTTGTCTCACTGCTGTTATTGACAAATAATGCAGTATTGAGTCACTACCCATTTCAGCTGTAAATACTAAACTGGATTAAGTAGACTTTTCTCTCACTAAAATCCTTTCCTATGCATTAATGAAATACAATTTGAAATGGTAGTGATAAGTACCACCTTAATCCTCCTTTGCTTTCCTGCCTCTAGCTCTTTAGATCAGTCGTGTGAAGGTCAATAGTAAAGGAATGTTGTGGACAGAGGGTTTATCCTTGTTACCAATGCTGCTGGGAAGCAGCTTCATAACTACCGCTCACTGGTTTGTACCATCTTTTACCACTGGTGTTCAGCGGGTAAGGGGAAAGGACAGCAGTCATCTAATTTCTTTTTATTTCCTTTTATTTCCTAGATGCTTTTATAGGTTCTATCATCACATCAGCTGAGTGCCTCACAGTCTTTGTTATATCAGGCCTCTCACTGTCCTTTTTAGAGATGAAGAGAGTAGTGTCCTCATTTATGGAGGTGGTCCTGAAATGCAGAGAGAGTGACTAATTCTTTGGTCACAGAGGGAGTTGAATCCCATGCCTAGCGGTGCCTGTGCAGCACCCCAGCGATAGCTGAGAAATAAGCAGGATGTGTGCTCTAGGCAAAATACCAGCTTGCTTTCTCCAAGAACATGAGGTCCACCCAAGATGTTGTCTGACTTGTTGTCCAAAAGACATTACCTTTTTTGTTAACTTTACACCAAGTGGACTTCAGTCTTGAAGGGTGGACAGGAACTTTTCAAGATAAAGTGGAATTTTTCTGCCTCATTTGGGACAAACTGCAGTTGTATCTAGTTTTTGAGAAGACTATCTTCTGGACTTGTCTTAGACTTAAGTGGTTTAATTATCAGCTGGTAACCCCATTGACTCAAGTTGTTTTATAAAGAATTCCTAAGCTTTCCAAACAGCAGTGCCTCTGTTTATATTCACCTCTGTACAACAGAGTGAAAGGGATTTTGAAAACATGTTGTGAGAGAAAGGATGATGACTTCTCAACTGAGATGTAGAGCAGGGGTATTACAGGCCATGAAGCAGCTGCACAATGTATAGGTCTTCTTGTGGGTTTATCAGTCAGCATTAAGGACAGGATGATATGAATGAGGTCATTTATTTCATGGTTTGAAGAAGATGCAAAAAGTCAGTTTAACTGAAGCTACTTTAAGGGTTGAAGGTCTTCCACTTAGTAATCTAGCTTTACATGGGTATACTGAATTATGGTCAATGCAAATAAATGTTTAGCACACTGGGAGAAAGGGGGTGGGGAGAGGGAGAGAGCGAGAGATCTGTACTATGTTATTCCCCAGCTGTTTTGTTTGATTTGAGAGGAAAATGCACCATTTTCATTTTGCAGCAAGAAAGATGTTTAGAATGGTTTTATTTGCTTCATGCTGGTGTAAGCAGTTAGGAGAACTCTCTGTGCCTGCCTAATGTGAGGATCTAGCCCTTAGTTTGACTTGTAGCTTTTTTTTCCTAACATCATGCAAAGTCAGAAGTACATCTTTTTTTTCCCCTCCCTTGTAGGCACTTGAAATATTATTTTCAAAAGACCATTTCAGAGTGATTGCACACCAGACCGGATGCTGAATGGGACCTCAAATGTGACACTAATCTGCCTCATTCGCTTTGAAAAAGCAAATTCTTTGTGTGTTTTCCTTTTAAAGTCAGGGCTGAAGGCTCTTTCCCTGCATGCAGTACTTGAGCTCTGTGGGTTGAAGAAAGAAGGGCATAAGAGGAGGATATTGCTAACAAAATAAAATATAGCTTTGGCTTTTTACAGCAGATTATCTGGGAAGAGGGGTCTCTACAGTGTGAGTAAAATTTGTCAGTTGCATGGTGATTAAAGTGTACTAAAAGACATGTAAGAATTATTCCGGCTTACCTCAGCAAAGCTACATTTCCTCCATTCTTTTGTTTGCCTTTTGGTGTAGTCTAGGTCTTGGCACTCTTTCTGTGAAGAAATGCTATTATTCCCTTCCTTTCCTCCATTCATTCATCTGTGCTTTGCAAGAAAGGAAACTAATTCATGTAGGTAGGTAACATGATAACGCTCATTCTTTCTTCTCCCTGCCTTTGCAAGAAGGTAGTCATTGATTCACTGAGATGCTTTTCGTATCAAAATTCACTATAAAGACTGACCAGTATAATCTATGGGAACAGATGGTATTTCTTGATCGACTTTGCTGAACTGGCATCAGTGATAGGTACTATTGCAACTAGTCTGGACTAAAGATTTTTGCCACATGAATGTAAAACAATTTTTTCCCCCAGGTATAACTTATGAAGGGCACTGTGATTACAGATACTAGTTTGACCTTCAGGACAGCCTTCAGGGCCTGACATTCTCCTGGGACTTTTTTGCAGGGGGACGGTTGGCTAGTTGTGTCAGTTGGCTTTGGTTTGTGGCCTGTCATTTGGACCACATACAGAGATTGATCAGACTTGCATAGCCTCAAATATTTACTCTCTCTTAGTGTGACAAATAAGATACTTGGATAGTCTCCTTCCAGCTTCTGCAGTGCCAAAAGCAACCTTACTGTCAAGCACATATATTATGTCCAGTTGTCATGGCAAAGACATCAGTGAGAGCAGGCATGGAAAATGAACTCGTCCCATGGATCTACAAAGCAAGGTCATAAATTGTGGTAATAGAAGGTATAAATTAAATACCAATAAAATTTTTCTAACAATAAACATAGTCAAGTACTGGAATCACTTGCCTAGGTATGCTGTATAATGTGTGATATACAATGCTTAAATATTCTTAAAAACAGGTTAAACAAACCTTTCAGAAATTATTTTAGATGTAGATAATATGCCTTCAGACAAAGGAATGGGTTAGGTGAACTACTGAGATTCCTTTTGCTCTACTTTTTATGATTTCTTGAACATATTTACAGAGCTGTGGAAAGTGTTTGCCATCTTTTCCATCTGTTGCCCTCTAAGAAATGATCTCTTGGAAAATCAGTGCAGAATATTGTCCCAAAACCATTGAGTAATTTGAATTAATTCCCTCTCCTGAGTTTTGATCAGGAATTGAGAACTTATTTTTCAATATGTCTATTAAGACTGTTAAGGGGTTTGATGACATTGGGGGTGTGTGATATATAGCTTTGCAAGCAAGCTTTACTGATGGCAAATATATATGTGTTTGTGTTTAATGCATAGGAAACAATGTTATGAGGACCATCCATGGTGTAGGAGAGATGATGACCCAAATGGTACTGAGCAGAGGATCTATATTTCCCATCAGTGCCCCTGATGTACAGCCAAGCATTCACCCAAGCAAGCAAGCCAGCACCTCAGACAGTGAAGATGTGATCGTAATGGACACCAAATTGAAAATCATTGAGATTTTGCAGGTAATAGTGTTTGGTGGAATGTTACATAGCAGCCATTTCACAGTTATTTACTTTTTCACATAGCGGCAAGTTCTGTTACCTGCATCCTTACTATTCACTGGGCTGATCATTGTAAAAATAAGACTTTGATGTGAGGAAGAATACTCCTCTGTGTGAACAACAGTACAGTTGTGATCCTCGCTCTGTTACACCTACTTAATTTCTGAAGGAAGTAGATGGTGTAGAAACTCTGTCACTGTAACTGTGAAAAGGCAGAACTTGTCCTCTAATCTGCCTCAATAATGTTTTCTGAAGACCGTGCGTCTGTTTCCAGTCTGATTAATGCTCATTTTACATGGGGGTAGATTATTTGACTTTAGTATTTGACTTTTGCTGTACAGTAGTTTGGTGAAGGTCAGAATTGGACCTAGACCCACTGAAGTCATGCAAGGCCATGCACTTTTGAAATCCATTTCAGATTTCCACTGTTACATTGAGAATAGTCTGTGGGCTGCTATGATTTTCTCACAGCTGAACTGACAAGCTATATGACACTGGCATGCCTCCTGAGATATAATTTTCACTTTGTGCTATTAGTAAGTGAAGTGGCATGGCATTTGTTCTGTATATCAAATCCCAGTTTCTGTAATACTTATGCCCTGAAGGAATGTTTCAGTGTTTTCTATAAATTCTGCAGATCTGTTGGTACCGTTGTCACTTTTGAAGGATTCCATTTGTTCTGACTGCTTATAAATGATTTAGATTACCTTAATTACTTGTCATCTGAAAGACTATTAATTGTTAGAGTATCCACAATACTGTATACTTTGGTTCCAGAGCTCCTTTTGTTTAAGGCTTATGGTGAAGGACAGAGTGTTATGAAGTTATGTCAAATAATGCCATTCATGTGTATCACTTCTCATTTTCATTTGTTATTTGACTGAGTTTCTCTCCATACTGTCTTGCTCTACTGCTTGATGCCTAGGAGGATGATTCCAGGACACCAGCCTCGTCCTGTGCATTCACCTTGTCCTGTGCATTCCCTGTCTGCTCACAGGCAAGAGAATCACATTCTGTCTCGTCCTTTCCTTTTTCACAGCACGTCCAATGCAAGAGCACCTGGGATTGGAGAGCATTAAATCTTAATTTGTTACTTAATCTGTGGCTTGTTAATTATGGTTTAGTCACATGGTCAAATTACGGCAGATTAGCATGTTGTCATGTGTCGGGTGAATCACAGTAAATGTGCATATATATGACCATAGTTCACAAGAAATACAAAATAATTCAGTTTCTTTTAATATGCAATGAAGGAGGATTAATTTAAATTGCATTACCTTTCATTACTGTGCTATTACCCTAAAAGGCGAGTAAGAATATTTTAGATTTATTGTATTATCATGCAAAGCTAGTACAGTGGTGAATAAAACTACTCAATTCTAAGAAATATTTCAGTTTATAATAATTTAATTCTCAATATATCCTCTTATTCCTTTAAGTAAAGGCATTTTTTACTTAACAGTTTCTATTCTGCCATCAGCCGTAATTAAACAGATGGCCTGATAGACTTAGTTGACTACGCGTGGACTTGGGAAATTTTTATTTTTAAAAATCTTGCTTGTACAATTATAGGGTAACTTGATCATGCAACCAAAATAAACCTGCCTTTTTTCTTTTTTGTTAGAAGGTTTTAAAGAAAAGATACTGTTTCTTAAATTAACATTTTATTTGCTTTTAGAAGGCATAGTCCTAGTTACCCTAGTCAAATCCTATTACAGTACTCTGGGTCTGGGAAGCTTGTCTGACATTAGTTGGAGATCAAAGAAACAGGTTGTCACCATTTGCTAAATCATCACCTGTTGCCTGAATCTTAGTAACTTATATGCTTTCTTCCCTACTGATTGTAAAATAAGTTAAATAATCTTAAACCTCTGTCATTGTACACCTACATTTACTGTGGGCAAGGAGCGTAAGTGTGGGAAACACTGAAACTCAGTTGGTGGGCAGTCAGTTGGTGAAGTGTCAGGTGTATGTGTCAGTCCTTAAATGGGTACTAATGTCTCCAGCCAAGTTATTTTCCTCACTATTCCAATATAAAAGCACCACTTTCAGGTTTGAATTAGGGTTTTTCCGGTATGGGTTTCCAGATCCACAGCTGAGGACCAAAAAGCACCATCAATTAGAAGAAAGCAGAGTGAGGGGGATCTCTGCTACCATTACAGTGGTAGCTTCCAAAGCCAAACATTCTTTGCCACACGCTGGCAATACTACTAGGAGCTCATGAAGGACAGGCTGTTTGCTCCTCACATCCTCAGCTAATTGCTAACAATGTAAAAAAAGACACCACCAGGCTTGTGGTTCACTTCACGGGAGCCTGGAGTTACTGCAGCATCACTGCCCTTGGCTGTCAGACATCTGAGAGGGTGAGCCTTGAGCCTGTTATCTTTACTCTCAACCCCACTCTACTTATCTTCACGGGGCATTAGAAGTCCAGCTGAAATTTGAAATAATCAGATTCAACATGGGTTTGAATGTGCTGATCTGGTTCGCAGGCAGTGAGGACAAGGCAGCGTGCTGGACCCCCTGGACAAATCCAGTCTGCTGCTTAGTATTCAGCAGTTGATAGGGTAGAGTTCAATATGTCTCAGGATGGTCGGAGAGAAGAAATAAATCACAGAAAACTGACAAATGTAATAGATTATTTTTTTGTAGTGGCCATGTGTACTTAAAATAATCATATATCCCTATACGTTCCACCACAGACAAATCCTAACCCATGTTACCAAAGGCAGAAGAAAAGTCTTATTTTAAACTTTTTTCTTGTAGTTTATTCTCAGTGTTAGACTGGACTATAGAATATCCTACATGCTGTCTATCTATAAGAGGGAGTTTGGGGAAAACAATGAAAACGTTGATAGCTCTACAACATCCCCGCCTGACACACCAGGGATTGCCTCAGGTAAATGTTGCTATTGTATTGCAATGTAAAATAATTCTGTGTAGGCTACTGCAAGCAATGAACTCTACACCAGAAAGATGCATGCCGCTTAAGGTTGAAAAGCTTGTGGAAAAATGAAAATCTTAAGGAATCCCATAAAAATAAGATTTTTGCTGGCCTGTCCTCCTCTAACAAAAATGTGATTCCTTTTTCACATTATGAGAATGTACTCTTCTCAAAACACTGCATGATGACAAATGTAGTGGAGGGTAGATCATGAAAAAATTATTGGGGTTGGATGAAGACAGATTTAAGTGAGGTGAATGTGGTATGAGAATGGAGTGGCTTTCCAGGGAGCGTTCCTGGGCATACAGAAGTGCTCCAAAGGCTGACAGCAGTTCTGTGTGACCACCTTCAAGTAGGGGAGAATTGCTTTAATTGGAGGTGCTGTATAACAGGGGGGTGGCTAAAGGAGTGCTAAAGTCTTAAGCAGTAGGGTATATTAAAGCCATTTAAAGCAAAATGACGGTGTGGTAAATGATTTGGCTTGTGATAAATATTCTAAAGTTCATGCGTCTCATTTAGCTGCTTTGTGGGTGTTGGTTCATCTAAGAAAAATGTAAGTTTCATATTCTGTGTCATTTATGGGTCACGGATGGTGGTTTGTACAGCTCCTAGCCACCATAGGGCTCTGGCTCATCACTACAATTTGTCTGTCTCTCAGTAATAGTAATACACAGTTTGACTCTGCCCCTTGTCCGGTTTCTTCCCTACTGCTCTTGCAGATAGTGAATTTTGCCTGGTTGAGGAGTATGTAGTTAGACCTTTACTTGATAACATCTACTTTAAAGAGGAACAGAGTTCTTTTTTGCTGTGCAGATTAAACAATTATCACTGGCTTTTTAAAATTTATTTTTATTTTGATTGTTTTCCAGCAATTGTCCCTGATATAGATGAAATTGCAGCTCAGGCTGAAACCATGTTTGCTGGCAGGTATGTTATCTGAAGTTTTATCTCTCTATATTAATCTCTTTGTTCACATTGATATTTCTCATGGACAATCTGTATTTATTCTGTGTGTGTTTTCATACTGCTTTCTCTTCCTTTGATGACTACTTATTATGTAGACAGGAAGACCTGTATTTCAAACAAGCAAACAGCCCAGTGGGATTGGCAGTGACCCCCCTCTTGTTGTAAGAGTTGGTAGAAAGTTTTTGCCTTGTTCCCAAGGGCAGGTGAGGAATGGTGTACAGGTGTATTGGGCTAAAACACACTAATTATTTCTTTCTCTTATAATGCCTCACATGGGTGCTTTTAAAGAAAGAGCTTTTCTTGGTGTACCTTATGGCTGTAGCCCCAAATTTCTTGGATCAGTAGGTTACTGTTGACCCTCAGTATTTCCCATAGATTACCTGACCAGTTGTCACTGTACCTTGTCTTTGAACTTATTAAGGAAGTTACGTCAACAATAATCTCTTTCATATGATTTCTCAAGTCAACTGTGGACCACTTGCCATGGTCTTCTGGGCCACCAGAGGCCTGTAGATCACAAGTTATGCTTACAGAGTTTTGGAAATGGTTTCAGCTACACTGTGAACAGAAAAAAAAAGCGCAGAAAATATCCACACTGGAGAGTTATTACCATTATCACTACATTAGTTTAATATTACAGGTATAATTATACCAGTAAAAAAGAATTCCATTTAGACAAGGCCGTAGACTTTAAATTTTTTCTTGGAGGTAGGGAGGAGGATCCGCAATGTGGGTGTTCTGATCTTTCCCCTCTCAGTCCCTTACGCATTCTCAGTCTTTACCAGGGCGAGCAATGCCTCCAGTCCCCTCCCTGAACTCCCATAATGTAAAACAACACACAGCCCCAGGCGTCTGCATCTTTAGAATGAACAGAGAGACTGAACAGTTTCTTGGAAACATCATTTCTGCTTTGATATGTTAGAGTGTAAATCTGCTTTCTGCTGTTCCAGATTATAAATATGATTCCAGAAATATGATGCTTTTGGCAATTCTTGCTATTTTTGAGCTTACTTTTTCTTAAATGAAATCTTAATAGCTGAAAAGAGACAGGAGTGAAAAGGAAAGGGCCAAATTAATCTCTGATGAAGTGCTGTTTACTTCGATTAATTTGGATTGGGGATGAGCTTGGCACAACTTATCCCAGCCATAAATGAATGTTTTTGCAATATGGATTTTAATCACAATATTTGACGCATTTCATACATACTTACTTTCATTCCGTAGTGTCCATTCTGCTACAAGATTGCTGCAACAGCACATAACTGGAGGATTGAAGTCCTTATATGTTAAAGTGATGTTTATAGTTTCCATCGTGCAGCATATTTGATTTGGTTTTAAGAGCTCTGTCGAATGAAGATTGTGTGTTCAGGCATATTTATGTCAAAAGCTTTTATTTGTTCTTATTTATTTTACTTTATTTGGTCCTTTTTTCCCCATTTCTGTTGCAGAAAGGAGAAGAATGCGGTTCAGCTTGATGATGAAGGGGGCAGAACTTTTTTACGGGTCCTTATTCACCTCATCATGCATGACTACCCTCCTTTGCTTTCAGGTGCTCTGCACTTGCTATTTAAGCACTTCAGCCAGAGAGCAGAAGTTCTACAAGCATTTAAACAGGTATGCATGGGCATAGCTTTATTCCAGGAAAGTGACTGTCGGGAAAGTCTTTCCAAAGGCTGCTTTACTTACCTAAACTGCTGTTCGCAGCATGATAGTGTTATTTCCTTAAAGGTCCAAATTCAGCAGAGATGTGTTTTTTTGTTAGCATTGAACACATGTGCTGGTGTACATTATAGTTGTGCACCCAGAAATAGTTATTTCTGGCACTGCATTCATTACTGCAAACATAGGTCCGTGGTGATGGCTAGGACACATGCATCTCACAGTGAGACATGATGTAGTGATCCTCAGAGACAGAGTTGTTAGCTCATCTTCTGCAAGCAGCGTACCAGTGTCAGCAGTAAGACTTACCTGCCTTTAGGGCTACTTAGGCTGGTTATAAAACTCTCTTGTTATTCATGTGGTGTTTCTAGTTCTAATTCAGGTGTCTTTGCATTGTGCTCCACTGCATGGCACAGATGCCCAAATAACAGGAAGGGAGTAATGGAGCCAAGGCTGTTTTCAGCTTTTGTTCTTTCTGCTTGAGAACGGTGCATGTGCAGGCTCCATGTGTTAGTGGATTAGGATGGGGAGATCTGGTGTCATGGGGCTGGATGACAGAGACGTCTCTGTTACGTAACCCTATATAACATATGTTGATAAGACCATCTGATGCTTATTTCAGGAGTTTGATAGCGTGTTGTCTCATCGTTATGTAAGATGTGGAGGTTTCTCTTGTTTAAACACAGATGAATGATAAAGACCTGGAAAGCTTTTGTTTAATTCTTTTGTGGTGTAGCGTAATGGCCTCCAACCAGATTGTTAAAGTTAGGCTATGCTGCTGGTTAGTTGCATAAATAGCGGTTACTCCCAGGTAAGCAAGGGTTGAGTAGCTTAACATGTTTTTGTAAAGGAAGGAAAAGGCTAATTGACAAGTAAACAAAACAAAACTGTAGAGAACATGGAATATGAATGTCTGTGCATGAGCAGGATTCATAAATTCTATAAAATAACAAGATTTTACTAAGCTAAGAGAGAAGGTGATGAAAACTTTATATTAGAAAATAGTGAATATTTGCCTGCAAGTAGTGATTTTTTTTTTTAAAAGAATGTCCCTATTGATGTTCTTTATCTGCCATGTGATCATAATCTTTTAATAAGTGTGATTTCTTAATAGTGCTTATTGATTTACTGTAAAGATTGTTGTTAGTTTTTTTGTATATTCTCTTCATTAATAGTCCTGGGAGAGCAAAGAGCAATACAAAGAAGGGAAATGTGTAGATCATGCTAAATCAAGAACTGCAAATAACAGTGAAAAAACCAGAGATTAATCTTACTAGAGGCAACCACTCAGGTGGTGGGAAATTACATGAACCTGAAAGTCAGTTCATGAGCTCTATTCAAACAAGCTTTTCTAAGCTGGCCTAACAGTGTTGAAAATATGTTATTTTTCAATATTTGATTATGGTGATGTAGGTGATCACTGAAGTTGCTGGCCATTCTGACTTTTCTTTGGATGTCCTGATTCCTTGTCATATCATTTTTTTTTTTCTTTTTTCTCTTGTGAAGTACTTTGCTAATGGGATAAGCTATTTCTAAATGTATTTTTTTAATACCGTGTAACTGTATTCTTTTAATACCACGAGGATCATAATAATTGCATCAGAGCTAACTCTGCATAGAACTCAAGAGCTTGTTAATCTGTGCTTGTGCTGAAAATGTTTTGCAGTGTATTGAAGAAGGCAAGAGAATGTTGTGAATGTTGTAACTATCCTCTTTCGGGCAACTACAGTCTCTGGCTCTGTTAAAGGTTTTTGATGAATGGGGGCTAAAAAGCCTGCCTGTGCCATGTTTCAATTTTGTAGGGAAGGTTACATAAAGCACCTGAAAAGAGAGGCTTAGAATGGAAACTGTCAAGCAAATTACCCAGGCATAAGTGCTGGTGCTACTGCTGTAATAGCTTCACAATTTTCTGTATTTCCAGGTTCAGTTGCTGGTGTCTAATCAAGATGTTGATAACTACAAGCAAATCAAGGCTGATCTTGATCAGCTACGTCTGACTGTAGAAAAATCGGAATTGTGGGTTGAGAAGAGCAGCAGTTATGAGAGTGGAGAGGTGGGCGACAATCAAACCAAAGGGGGAGAAGAGCCAATAGAGGTGGGTTTAAAGCCTTTGCTGCTAGAATTGTTTCAATATTGGTAGGTAGTTTAATGAACAACTGCGAATTTGTGGTCTGGTTAATCGAAGTAACAAAGTGAGAATGTACAGTATTCTGGCTGCTTTCGGTGACTGCATTCTTATGTCACAGAGCTGCCTTCCTTTCTGGCTAGTGAGCAAGCCACAGTGTATGGCATCACTCTGTGGCCAAGGAAGTAATCTGGGGATCACATGCTGGCAGTTGTGTTGACTTGTTGGAAGAAAGGAGGAATAAGCAGTACCTGTTCCTGCAACTAGGGGAGAGAAGCACGATCAAACTCATATTTTCAAATATCATGAGTAATCCACTCTCCACCAAACATAAGACTGACCTAAGAATATTGAGGTTTTGTAGGCAAAAAACCCTTCTTTTTTTGACTCTTGCCAGCCCACACTCTCAGTGTATATCGTGATCTGAGAAACTTCGGAATTTGAATCTGGAACCATGAAGACCTGGTGTTTGGTTTGAGAAACTTCGGAATTTGAATCTGGAACCATGAAGACCTGGTTTTTGGTTTGTTTGTTTTTTTTTTTTTTTAAATTTAATTTAAATTTTTAATTTTTGTTTTTCAGTGAAAGCTGAGGTCCTCATGTAATCACCTAACTCCAGTGTGAGTCTTTAAGAAAATGCAAAGTGTTGCAAGAGTTGCTATGGTTTAGGTTTGTGGTGTAATAGTAGATAAAGCAGGCTTTCCCATCGATGTTTATTCCCACTTTTCCATTTTCATCAGAGGAAGTGGGGAGAGATGAAGAACTGTGATTTCTGACACAGCACTTTCCTTATTCTCTTCCGTGGTAGAGTCTCCCCTAATGGAAAGAAAATGGGCAAGGAAGCCACCAAGGGAAGTTTAGTAGGAAGCCAAGTGGAGATTATACAGCATTGTGAAGCCAGTGCATTGAGGAAAAGTAAGAGCCATTGAGAAGACACAGATTTGCAGATACCTGTGACGTACACTTGGCTTTTCAGATGGAAAAGCAGATTTTAGGTGGCTTCATGCCGGGGGGAAAATCCAACACTTCAAGGGAGAATCCTAATGTCTTGGAACAGTGTAGGTCCTACTCTTTCTCTGATATAACTTAGCTGAATTTAGTGGTGTCAGAACAGGGGAGGAATCTGGACTTTATGAGCTTAAGTATGTGGGATTTCTTACTTTCCTCAAGCATAGCTCTAGTACTAAAGAAAATATTCCTTTATGTATTTAATGAATGGAAAAGGTAATGGGGAAACAGGATACAGAATTGCAGCAGGATATTTACAATATTTTTTAGCTAGAATACATTTAAAAAGTGTAGTAAGATCCTTTTTATTCCTGCAGGATAGCCCTGATAGTAAAGAAACTCCAGGAAGAGGGGACAAAACAATGCGCTTGAAACAGAAGCATTTCTAAATGGGATATTCTCAGTGTTTTTTTCCTGTGAGGCATCTGTGGGTCTGTATGGATTATCAGTGCTTCAGTAGATGCACAATATTATCTCTGGCAGATCTGAGAGAGTATTGTGTCAGAACAGTAATATGTAATCTGCACAACTGGTTAGATCATCTGGTGGTAATTCCATGAAAGCTGTGCCAGGTTACAATAGCTCAGAAACTTGTCCATTATTTTTTCCCCTGTTAAATTATTCTTTAACAGTCAGGAAATGTTTTTACCTGGCAAACCTACTTTAGATAGTGAATAGTCTCTTTGAGATCTTTAGTCAGACGTAAGAGGTGAAGTGCTGGTCATAATCTACAATGTGTGAAGCAGGTGGCTAGCTTCAAGCAGATAAACATCCCTGTGAGATCCCATTCTTTCTTGGATGCCGGGTATTCAGTACTGAACTGGATGAACCTCTAGGGAATATGCTTCATTTGCCTGTGCTTAATTTTTCCCAAACTACATTGAAGTGCACACAAGGGCTTAAATTACATTCCAGAACAGTCATATGTTAAGCCCAAGTTTCTGTCCTCACTGAAGCACATTGCAAGATTGGCATAAGAGTTTCAAAAAAATCAAATATTTTTTGCTCTTAGGCTTCTGAGTCTTTTTGGGTAATTGTTTCCACCTTTCTATCATAACCTGGCGGGGCTAGAGACTTACTTCCCCCCACCGCCCCCAGACATGTGACTCCAGAAATGGGATTTGTAAAACAAAAAAAAGCCCATGTTCTTCTAAATAAAGTATCCAGAGTTCTCCACAGGAAAATCAACAAATCTTACATCTGTGCATGATCATCTTGATAGGAACTGGAGA